ATTATGTGATGTGATTATTACGCGAGGAATATTGATAAATTAATATTTCGCTGTTTGTTGAGTGCCTTTACGCGTGACACTTACTTACGATCCGCCACGCAGACAGGGTGTTCGCTTTAAAAGAGAGAAAGTAGATTTAGCAAAAAACCGCACAGTCATTGCTTAAATGAGGTTTATGCTTTAATAAAAGTCTTACTAATAACTTATCGTTTCTCTTCTAAATTATCATTTCATGAACGATATAATAATACCACGTAAGATTAATATATAACTATATATCGACCGACAACTTAAATTTCGATAATTTGCCTTTAATATATCATTTTTATTTCCTTTTATTTTAAAAATAATAATTTTTGTCAATTTTTGAATCAGGTCGTTAAATATTAATTTGATTTTACAATTAAAAAAGAGAAATGGAGCAAAGACACAAAGAGTTCAATATATACATATAGGTCTCGAAATTTGCAATATCCTAGGGTGTTAAATCTTTTGAAAGGTCTGACGCGTGTACGCACAATTTCCTGGTTAATCAAAAGCGCCGGAAACGGACCAATCGTCGTGCAGAAATGTCTCACTTATATCTCGACCTTGATTGGTTAGAATGAAAGATTGGGGTGCGACTTTTCGAAAGTTTAATAGTGGAGGGGATTGAATGAATGCTCGAGGGTGCAAAGGTACTGGTCCTCGTTAATTTAATTAAGGTTTTGATTTTCGTGCATGCTGACTGACTTTCTATCCTATCCCTCTTAGTTTTCCCTGCTTTCTCACTACTTACACACCCCTTTTTTAGACCTCATATGAAGAGAAGCGACACACGACTTTATTCTTGTGCGTTCTATTAAAAATGGTGACTGCAAAACTGTTTTCAGAACTTCGATGTTCAATTAACTAAATCAAAATCAATGAACTTATTACAGAAACATTTTCCTCCAAGTACACATTGAATTATATAGTTGAAAAAATAATAAAAAAAATTCAACTAAAATTAAATCAATTTCATTATGCAAAGTTCATTTTAATTATAAATTGTTAATTACGAAATGAGCACAATGTCTGCACTTGAAAGTGATAATTCTTCAACAGGGGCAAGGGATTAGAAAATTGTGGACTGCCGCATTTATTAATTAGGTTTAACGGTACATTAAGCATATTGTCATTAAAATTTATGTGTAATTGAAACGTCATTCGGTGTATTATACGAGCATTTAAATAGTCTCTCACGCAAACATACTAACTAACTTTGTAAATCATTTTACAACATTTCAGCGTAAACGATCTTCCTAAACCATATCTTCACGAGTTTTGTCGGTCACGTTTCTCTTTATACTTAATTACCAGTTTCGATTTTAACTCAAGAGTAATTGCAAAACATAAATAATTACAAAATTTTCGAATTTAATTTTCAGGTATACAATTCATCTGAATTTACTTTTAAAAAATTTTCTAATGCTTATTGAAATAAAACTAAAGTTCTTCAGAGGGCAGTTACTCCTTTCTGCATAGGACGATATTACCGATACAAGAAAATGTTACAATATGTCACGTCCACGCGACATTATGTCTGCAAATTATCGACCTGTGGCACGACTAACCAGTGTTTTTCACACGTGCCACAAGCCTTCGATTCTGTTAAAAATAAGTATATGAAGATGACCAAATATGGTATTGTAATCGCGTGATTCTTGCCAACCCCTTGCAAAAAATATCGATCCTACACTTATCGATTGGTTTTCTACTATATAAACCATACATTTTTAGGAACAAATCAGTTCTTATTTAGGTGTCACTTTCATCGGTTCCTCTTGAAGAAAATTCAATTTCTACCTCTGTTAGAAAGTTTCTTTATCAAGTGTCTACGCTCAAATAAAACTTCTGCTCTAGAAATCTTAATTCTGAATTCTAAATGTTTGATTCTGCTTTCAGTGTTATCAGATATTTGGACAAAAATCAAACTTCCAGTTTCTACGAGAGATATTTGTAAGAGTGAAAAATAAACATAACTTTGGTTCATCTAACAAAAGCATTGTTTCCTACCTGTTCCTTTAGTTCGAAGCCTTCCGCTTTGTAAATAAAACAGGTTTAAAATAAAATATTATGTTATAAGTTTTGTGCATCTCCTTCTGAGACGTAACAAATATGACGACAGGAGAATTGATAGTATTGTTGAAGCCTGCTCGCTAACGGATTGTTTAATTGAACTTGGTTTTTTTTTACAAAAAGAGGAGTGGTCAACGAGTCCAAAGAAAGGTGGATGAATCTACCGATGGTTGAGCGAATCAAAGTAAAACGACTTGAACGACAAGTCGTCCACTGAACGGCGCAAGATGATCGTGTCCCGCTTCTCGGAAGCCGGTTATACAATTACTGATCCTGATTCTTTCGTCATTTTCTGCCAAGAACAGTGCTCCATTTGAAAGACTGAGAGGCAAACCCTTTTCAAAGGGCCGCATTCTGTTTACTCCTATACAGATAAGTGAACCATAAACCTGATGTATAAGCTAGGATTACACGTGCTTAGGATTTTCCGCAGAAACATCACTCTTGTCGGTTTTTTCTTCATTTCTTTACTATTCCTTTAAATGCTATTAATTCCATTTACTTGTTTCGAGAAAAACTTTATTCAATTATCGCCATTCAATTATTCTTATTTCATTGCATGAAAGAAATATATAATATTGTGTTCACTGCATTTCAATGGTAGTTGCTCGGTAAGTTTAAAATTTGGAGGTTCAGCTTCAGATTGTTGAGATTACAATCATAAACATGTCTAAAAATAAGTGGAGGTCCGTGATTTTGTAATTTTATAAACTTGTCAACTGAAATTTTCATTAGTCGCTGTACAAGAAGCATGATAAAATCGAGAAACTCCTCTTTTTATCGTTCTGACACATTTTTTTCTTTTCTCAAGATTAATTTTCGTACGTGCCTCGAGTACAACTTTGTGACTAGAATTTTCTTCGAGTGTTTGTCATATAAGATTTCTTTTTGCATTAATTTTTTTGAAGCAAAAAAATGTCTTATCTTTAAGTTTATTTTAAAGATTCCTCAATTAAATGTCACAAAGGAATAAAAATTTCCCTCTGCAACGAGATAGTGAGAAATGTGATCTTGTATTTGCTATATAGCCAGGTGAGTGTTTCACCTATACAGCCCACATATTTGCGTGTCTTGTCAGTTGATGTATATATCTACTAAATTCATATTTTTTTATACGTGTGCCTTCATAGAGTGTCTGCTGAAACCAGGTCATACTTTCAAAATACGGTTATGTATATATATAAGTATATGTAATCTGCCTTGAAAGATGCAAGAGAGCAGGAGAAAAAATCAATTCAATGGAAGCTGACAAGCAAACTATTTGTCATTTGAGCTTCATTATTAATAAACAGCAGAGTTTCTTCTCACGGTGCTCTGACATGTATTTTTATTTCTTTGCTTAACAATGGAACATTCAAGAAATTTAATTTTTGCAAGTGTTAATTGTTATATTCATATATTTGTTTTATTTCAAAGGGAAACCTATTATTAGTATTTATTCTTGACCTCGGGAAGTAACTTAAATATTGTAAATATCATAAATATGCTGACGATTTTAAAGTGTTTCAAAAACAGTGAACATTACAAAAATCTGTATTTTAAAATATTTTTAAATGCACTTTGGAATCAACGGTTAGTACATATATATAATTTAGACACGTCTCGAGTGTGTTGAAAGTTGACAAGAAGGAGGGTTGTGGAAAAAATGTCCAAATAAGGTCTGAGAGCGCGAAGTAAACGAGGCATATAATAACCCTCGGTGACATTCGAACAAACAGCCATCTGTAGGTAATACCCCTGTGGTGAAGACCGCCCCAAAAACTACACCCCGTCAAGAAATTACAATGACAATAACGAAATCCGACCCGCCCGCGGGCACACACTTTTGCTTTATTTTTAGCTCTCTTCTTATTGACACCTCTCTCTCTTTCTCTTTCCTGCTTTTTTTTTAAACATTTACTCATGATTTTCTTCTCTCTTCGTCATGCACCAAGTACGCATCGGTAATTCTATAGCAATTGTACCTTTGTACTATTGTACATTTCCGTAACAGTCCATTATACCCGTATAGTTCTTCTTTCAAGGGGTAATAACGTGTTCCGTTCGTGGCACATCGTCGCGCGTTCTCCTAGAAATTCTTACGTTGGATCTAACTGATGTCAATGTACATTTCTCTTGGCAAAAAAAAGAGAGAACCACGAGGGGCCACGATGGACAACCGAGCAGACTTATTAGCTTTAATATCGGGGCGTGCTGAAAATATGGAGCACATACAGGGTGAAGTAAAATTTACTTCTATTTTTAAAATTTAGGATTGTTTTAACATTTCACTTCAAATAATAGTTTTTCGATACCTTTATGTATTAATATTTTTTTTTTTAAATTAATATTAAAAAAGTTAAAAGTATTATTATATACTAAAACAATTATTGATACTATCCGGAAATAAGTCATTAATTCAGCACCACACCCTGTATGTATGTGAAGAGACGTTTGTAATATGAGGATAGCTGAACACGCAATTCACAATCGAAATCCAGACTGCGAGTCTATTGTGGGTTAATAAGTAGGTAATCCTGCACCAAGTGGTGGACTTTTTGACATTCGACACCATTGAGGAGGAATTTTGAACGAAGTCACGCGAGACCCCGCTCTACATCACATGTTGTGTGTGGATTGCATTCACTAAACTGTATTTATGTATAATACACGAATGGTAAACTTTAAATTACCAATAACTTTTGTCTTTCTCTCCTAATTCTTAACAATTTCATTTTTAAATAATTCCACAATTGGAGATATCATTTTTAATTATGATTATAAGAAAATTTCTCTTTTATTATTATACTTTAACTAGTTGTAAACTATCATCTTTTATTTAATAATTATTAATAACTGATAATAATTAATTAATTATTACAAGGAATAAAAATCTAATTTTATTAATCAATTTTACTTACTTTTTAAAAGGGGTAAATCGTTCATGAATCCTCCATCGTCAACATTTGTGTTCTGCAAAATAAAAATAAGAAACCATATAATTCCACTATACTGTAACATTAAAAATAAATTATAGTTTTGTATGAATTAAATTAAAAGAATGATATAATTTTGTTTAGATTATAAATTGTAGTGTACTGTTTAATTGTCTTTAACAGATTTATTTATTCTTTCTATTTGAAATAAACGAAAAAAGGTTCAAGACTCTTTATGATATGAAAAAGCATTTAAAGAATTCTCAACTTATACTAAATGCCCTTTTGTACGTATATAAAATTTCCTAAAAAAACAGACAGGAATGTGAATACAAATTCAAAGCGAAATATTTGTCAACCACAAGAAGTTTACTTATTTGCTGTTTTGTCTTTATTTGAACTAAAGTAAAAATTTAGACTTGGATTGAACGATATTAAAGTTGCTGTTAGTAATAGAAATATATAATAATTTTTACCGGCTGCTAAAAATTATAAATTGATCATGAATAAGTGTTGCGATTACGTACATCGTCGCTCACCTGGGGGTCATCAACGAGACTTGTATGAAGTACAAGATCAGTCTGATCTAGACCTGGGGGTGGAAGAAGTGCGTCCGGACGTCGAACAGCACCATATTCAACACCTCTTCCGCCTCCACCACCGCCACCACTATTTCGTCCACCATCGTAAGGAAACGACGCATGCATATTTGTCTGAAACAATAAAATTACATATGATCAATTCAAGATATTTGTCACAATATAAATTTATATAAAAAATTAATTAACCCTTATTTGATTTCACACCATTGTTCTATTAAAACCATAATTTATTTGTATAAAAGAACAACATTTGCCAGGAAAGTTCAGTTCAGATTTTGGTACCAGCACGACATTTTCATATACGAAATCTTGTACAAATACTGTTACTCTGCCCAATTTTATACTCAAGTTGAACATAGAAGAATCTTTGTGTTAAAATTACTTTAAAAGACGTAATTAAAATTTTAATTTATTTAACTTTAAAGTAGAATTAAAATTTTCAAAATCAATTAATAATGACAATTAGTTTGACATGATAATCAAATTCGTTGTGAATCATGAGTAAATTTCATGAGGGGTTAAAATCAGCGTCGATTCGACCTGACGCAGAGTTATTTTTCTCTTTATGTGGTGAGATGAAAGCGGGTCTGCGGGTTATCGTTAGCGAGAAATCTCCTGCTTTCGCATAGACCTGCCTTCCGTTTCCCCGATGACAATCTTCCCTCCTTCAGAAGAGTCACTGATGATAAGTGTATCGAGTGGTCATATGTATTGTATACATGTATGTATGTGTATAAATATGTGCGTGCACGGACAGAAAAATAGGCCTCAACAAATAACTTCAGTAGTACGTGATGTGTCATAGAAATTATTTAAAGATTTAAAAAAAACAAGAGATCTACCGTTGATAATAATTACGTTATAAAAGTTACCTAGGACAGCAAAAAAAATAAATCCATGATTTTTTAATTAACAAAAAAAGTTAAAGTACTTTAGGAATCAGTAGCATAAAGTATATATACTTTATCGAATGATGAATGCCCGTTGAAAATGGGAAACGTTTTCAAACATTAACAAAGAATAAAATATTCACTGAATGGTTTGTGCAAAGTATAGATGAAATTCTAAAAGCCTGATTTCACACCGAGTGAAAATCCGTCATGGGAGGACCTTTGCCATCTCTATCATTAAGATACCTCGAATGGTTTATGCATGTAGATATATTATAAGGAAGGTGAAAATTCCTATAGGTTTAAATTTAATTTTCATCTTCCATCAGGTGTTGATGGTGCAGTGTACCTTACGCGAACGTCATTGAAGACGAATAGGAATCAACTTTCAGTATGGGATGAACAACATTTTCATATGGAAACACTTGGTTAGCGGTACTATAAACCTTCATGCTCTTTAATCTCTCACATTAAAGTACAAATTCTCTCCGTACAAATGTAAATAATCTTTTTAATCAATAAACTAAATACAAGTGAACCGCAAAAAGAGTTTCACTTCCTTAAAATGTTTAGAATTTAAATATTATTGACTTTTCTAATAGGCAAGAGAGGTGTGAAGAATTGTCTAAATCGTGACGATGGTTAAATCATTCTTATTAGTAAAGCATGTATACGTAAATTTGCTAACGGAACGTTTGACTTATTTTCCAAAGATTAAGTTACTAAAGAACACATGAAATATTAAACACATAAAATAGCTTCTGTTCAAATGAAAGCAAGTTGTTACATTTACCTGAAGAGTTTTATTCTAATTTATGAGAATGTATATGTATGATGAAGACAAGGTATTTTACGATAATATCAATGGTAAAAAAAAATTCTACAGCAAAAACAAGTCTATCAGTTTCGTTTGATCACTATTCGTTGGATATATTGAAATGCTAAACACGCGAGTATTCGAGTGACTCTAAAACCGCGATCCGATTCAAATCGAAAAATAACCTTCGCTTATTCTCAGAGAAACGATAATTAACCAATCTTAGTTTGCGTCTCTTTGACACATTTCCCACGTTTGGTGACATTTGTAAAAGCGTGCATGAACTTTACTTAATTAGAAAGGTGTAAAAAATTCTTTTTCTGTTTGTCTTTTCTTTTCTGTCTGGAATTTCCATGCAACGTAAAAAATAAAATTACATTTCCAATTGTTTTTGTGGCACATCATTTCAAGCATAACGGAAATTTAAATAAAGTACTCTGCTTAAGACTTTTACAAAAGTAAATTATTGAAAATACAAGGTATTCCTAAAAGTCTAATTTCGGACGCACGTGTTTGAAGAATACGTCAGTCTCAGTTATTATGAATAATTTATTCTCCACGTTGGAAAAGTTGCTTATGTGTGTTTAAGTTTATGAGAGGACCACGCCTCATACGAAATAAAATTTCGGTAGTTTTTTTTTATACTTAGTCGTAAGACCCAATTCCCACGTGGGTCAGGTCTACGATGACTTGACGATACCATCACACATATAAAAAATTTTATCTGCGTGTGGAGTTACTAATATACATGCATAGCTTGTAGCCGTGTAAATAAACATACATACATGCATTTTCATTTTATTTTTTTTAATATCTTCAGCGCACCATTTCATTCAAAGAAAGTCAATAGTCAGAGATTGCCAATAATTATTGCAAGTAATCAAGATTACGCAAATCACTCATTTAATCTCTTTTGTCCTGTATTGCAATCGATCATATAAATCTCATCCGAAACATTGTAATTGAAACGATATTTAATCCAATGTAAAATAGAACGAAATAATTATATTTCAGATCTATTTCGTGGTTCTAAATTAGGCTAAGAATCGTACCAGTAGAATTTAAATTATCATACAAAATTAATTTATTAACACAAAGCGCAGTTGGCTGATGATAAAACTCATTGAAATCCCAAGAAGTAAATTACTGAAAATTAGTGAAATTTAAACTGATTCAATTGTAACAAGTATAGGGAACTAATCATGATACTTATCTATTTTGCTTGAAGCAGTTTTGATTGGAGTAATGGGTATAGGTATATATATATCTCGGGATATCGGAGCGGCAAAAATTCAGTCAACGTGATTTCATTTGGTGGCCGTCGTTTAACGAGAGAAAGGCGATCACGTTTCATCTCATTAGTCGAGTGGCGTGGTGCGGTTACATCAATTTATAACTAACGCGAAGTTAGTCTTCACTTCACTCCAACCTGCTTAATTAGCACTCCACTTTTTTTTTCCTTTTTGTTCAATCCTCATCTCTTATTTCATTTCCCGTGACAACATGTGACAATGTGAAAGCTTATTCGAAGAATTATTGTTTAATTAATTTTTATAAATTTCACCGATTTTATACATTTTATTACTTAACGTAGCTTGTAGACTTTATTAAAAAAAATTTCTATTTTTATAATTTTTATATTAAATATTGTTCTCGAAACAAAATTAAAAAAAAACGTTATTCATTGAAAAAGAACGAAAAATTTTGTTATTTTACTACCGCAAGATATTTTAATGGCTGTCTTTCGTTTCCTGGTAAGATGATATAAAGATTTTGTATATGACAAATTGTGCAATATTACGTGCTTCAACAGGTGTTGGTATTATTTTACTCATATCTCCCTTGACTCGAAACAAAATCTCAACAAAATTTTCCAACATGATGGCAAGTAAATTTGTCAAGTTTTAACGCAAAAATAAAAAAATTTATGATAATTAACTGATTGCAATTTTAAAACCTTAAAGGCTCTTATGAAAGGAAGCTTTCTTTTTTCAACTCAATCTTCACTTTCTCCTCTCGCTCTATAATTATATTTCTTTAATATCATTTCACATGAAAGGACCGTTGGAACTTAAAATCTGATGTTTAAAATAATTACATTTACCTGATGAGTTTGAGTCTCATTATACTGATTAAGTTGTTTAAGGTGAAAAATAAATTTGTTTTTTCATTTAATGTGTCAATTAGAATATATATTATAAATAAAAATTAGGATTCACTTGAGCAAAAATATATATAATGTTCTACTTATTTACCTATTTCCTAAAAGAAATTGAAATGAAATAACGAAAATTATTTTAAAAAAATAGAAATTCTTTACAATGTATATTATTAAAAGTGAATATAAAAAAATGTAGAATATTCGCTTGGCGTAAATTTTTCAGCATAAATTTAAGAAATTCGCTGTATGATGATTTGCATCTGAAAGAATGGAACCCTTTCGACTTATCGTACAGTATGTCAGGCATTGTAATTCTTGGCATGTTTGCATCAAAGCAAACTTTTGCGGTATGCACCTTCAGGGAATGTTTAAGGTCTGCCCGGAACTTAATAAGTAAATTACTGCGCATGGCCCACTATATGCAAAATTTTAAGCCATGAAAGAAAACTGTCTTGAGAAGCTTTTAAGTTCAAAAAAGCGCTAAATTTTAAAGAATTATAGTAATCACATACTTATAATTGAAAAGTATATTAATATGATTATTATCAATTAATTATTAATTAATATGGATATTTTTAGAAATTTTATTATTGAAGACCTGGTTCAACATTATACAAGCGAATCCTTTTCTCTTTATTTAACATTATAAAATGAGATAATCATGTTTCACATTTTAATATCCAATATATTATATAGAACAGCTTGATTATTAATTATCAGATTTTAATTACAAATCACGAATACAATTACCTTAAATTCATACTGAATTAATAAAAATTAAAAAGTAATTAATCGTCATTAATATAATAAACTGGCAGAATTTCTATTAGAATTTCATTAAAAGTATATAGTTTATAAAAATAAAATACGAAATGGTATATGGATTTTTTACTTTTTTTGTTACATTTATACTTGCTTGTTCACAATCATCATTGTTTTGGTTATTTACATTTTGTGAAAATTTATCCTCTTGATTAACATTGTAAGGTGTATATATCTTGCATTTTCTACATAGCCATTGTTATAATTTTTACGCTGATTTGGATAATTTTGATAATTATTTTGTCTTTTATTATTGTTGTTTAAAATTATATAAATTTTAAAAAATTTATGAATATAATGTCTCAGAATTTATAATATACTATATATGATGCCGAATATTGTTTCAAGATGAAAGCGATTTGTGTGGTTAAATTTCATACATAAGACTTCATCTAAGTTCTCTCAGCTAACAGTAACTATGCGAGTTCCGTGGTTTGTACCTTGGAATTATCCAAATATCTATGTATACTTTCAGCATAACAATAAACTTTCAACAATCTGATTAAAATTTACAAATTAAATAAAAATCAATATTTCCACTGAAATAGCTTTTTGTCGATATAATTTATTATTTTTACTATAATTTTTTTAAGAAATACACTAGAAAAGATTTGTCAACATTGGAGAATTTTTCATTAGAGGAAAATTGATAAAATGTATCAAGTTGAATGACCTTTATACGCGTTGTATACTGACATAAAAGAAGATGATTTAAAATGAATCAGTAATGGTAATGAACACGCAGTATTGTACGGTCATTATATTGGAACATTAACGCTTCGATTACTTAATAATTTCTTGAAATGAGGAATGTAACGAGCTAGCAAAAGCTGAATTGCATTTATTGCTTATGTAAGTATACATTAATGCCGAATGACTATCAAAGAGTGCAATTAGATTTTAACGGTATTCAAGCACCTTTGACAGGGCACAGCAATAAAAGCTATAACTATATGGCCTTTAATAAAGTTATCAAAGGTAAAATATTTTCTTTATTTAAAAATTAGACCTCTTCCTGATGCTCCATTATCTTTATAGAAGGTTTATTTTATGATTGAATTTTGCAGGTTTTTAAAATCACATTTTAGTTATATCATTTCATTTTATGTCACATAAAGATATTAATGTAAGAAGACAGTAAACTTTAAAAGACATGTGAAAAAAAAATTGTTGAAAACGACAATTTGTATTGTTTCATCTTTTTTTCTGTGGTATTTTGGCGAATGGAAATTTAATTCGAAGCTTATCGCAGCTATATTATTGTAAGTAATATAATGAAATTGACCAACAATTTGCATAGGGAATATTAATTTTTTTTTGACAAAACTCTACAGAAGAATAAAACGAAAATGAAGATCCCACCGCTGGCACTGGTTATTCATTCTCATGAAAATCATCACATTTTTTTATTTGAAAATACTAATATTTGCTTAGAATCAAATTATAAACGCAGATTATTTAAAGAAATGTTTCCTATTTTAAAGTGGAATAATTTCATTAGAAAACTGAAATTAAAGATTTAAATAATATTTATCATACTCTTATTCTTAATAAAAACTGAAATTTTGCGGTTTGTGAACAGTTTGATTAAGAAGATTTTTTTTTACAAAAAACTTGACATCATACTATAAGAGCGTATACGAGATTTCACAAAGATATTATCCAGTTAAAAGGTTCTCGGCTTCTGCAAGAGCAGTGGAAGACGTTTGTAAAATGTACGTTGGCATGCGACATAATCAAGATGATTTCTTACCACGTGAATGCCTTCTGCGTCCCTCCTGAGATCCCCACTCCTTTGGCCCGCGGTAACTGCCGCACTCAAGTGATTGTAGTGATGTTGATGAAGGGTGTTAAGGGTTTGGGTATAAGGATCACCGACAAGATAATCCAGGTGCTGGGGTTGTGCAAGTCCCGGATGTTGAGGACTCGCTGGTGCATGATGATGGGACGGAAACGGGGGTGGGAAATAAGGTGGTTGGAAATCTGAAGCTGTTGGTAAGGATGCTCCTCCATGATGCGGCATACCGCCTCCATTGCCATTACCCCGATGACCATGATGATGACCACCGGAGTAGGGTGACGAATTTCCACCGCCCAGCGAGGAAATTCCACCATGGCCCGTTAGACGGTCCTGAAAAACAAATTATTCATTTATATTTAAATTCGTTCACTTTAATTAGTAATAATTGTAACAAGAAAAATGCAAAATCAATCATTAAATAATTAATTTATTCATTTGAACTGTAATTATTGAATGTGCAACGAATTTGTTGCACATTCATAGTTACCTATCCGGAAGGGGAGCCAGCGAATGTAGCGACAAAATTAAGTAAATACAATTTAACTATAATATTAAATTGTAGCCCCGGGTACAAATTTGGTGTAAACATCAAATGTTGAAATATTTGGTTATTAGGATAATATATTACGTTGAAAATTTATACGGCGTATTACTTGTCGAACAAGTATGATTTCTCGACGTTAATCGACTCTAATATTTATTAGATGATATTAATTAACAGGATATGTGCTGGGCAATATAGAATTTATAGTCGTATAACGAATACCGGGGTTATGGAATAACTTTAACGGCATTTGTTTTGAGCGTCGCGTTAACGAGCTACCTTTATCTCGTTACGAATGTCATTTTCCAGGTTTTCCTCTTTTTCTTGCCAATAAATCCATTCTTTCAGTGGCTCACAAAACGTCGATTATAGCCGAGCCACTATACGGGATTCGAATTATCTTCATAGTTGTTCTAGACAAACAGGTTCTCTCGTTTCTATTCCTACAGATACAACATACCTATGTCTTGCCAAGTGAAATTTTCATCATTTTCAGAGGCTTGGATTTCAATGAAATTTGAGAATTTTTCTAATATAAAATTTTCTATAAATTATATTCTATAAAATTTTCAAGAAACATGTAAAATCTGATCCTAATTTAAATGTATAAACAAGATTTCTTTGACAAACATTTTTGAAATAATTTTCAAAAAACGAAGTTATAATGAAAGTAAAAATTAGTTTGAATCCAAGCATGAATATCAGAGCTATTCATAAGGCTCTCGGTAGTAAATTCACAGGTTTTTACATGAGGTACATTAAAAGGTAGAGCCATGTATATCGTGAATCTTTAAGTATGATTTACAAGATTTCCTGTGGTCGGTTTTTGTATTCTTTTTATCTGTGATGCCGAACATTGGCAATTTAATGTGGAGCTTAAGTGAGAAATCGGAATATGGTCCTATAAAGCAAGTGAGGATTCTGGACCGCAAAAAGAGAGAAGATGACGTAAAAAGGCAATGCTCAAAAGATATCAACTCTACCAGCGTACCAACGCCCACAAGATTCCGGCAGCGCAGCGGTGCATACAAGCTTTTGAGTTCAGCTTTAGATTTTAATGGCGAATGGGCATAAACTATGCAAATCCTTGAGTATCTGTCGCATGCACAAATATGTAGCTACTGAACAGAAAATGTAGGCGTATCCTGATCTCGAACACTGGAGATAACAACCTAGCAGGACAGTATCGTTTCGCGATAAACCTGATTGGTATCTTATTAGAGATGATAAACCGTAGCAGGAAGATTGTCAAGTCAAGTGCCATATATGTTACTAAAGAGTAATTTCGCAACTTTTAGTAAAAAAAATTTTTAAACCAGAATTTATTCCAAATAGTTGAATATCAACTCTAGAAGTGGAAAAAAGGAACACAGCTTCTTAGTTTACTTTATAGTGCATTTATTATAGTTTGATAAAATATGCTGATGTTTTCTGAAAATTTAAGTAATTAATATTTTCTTCATTACAGGAAATTCTTTGTTTGACGAAGAAGCCAAAGGTGAAATCTTTGTAGAAAGAGAAAATTTAATTTAAACAAGACTTAATTATTTTTTCCTGATTTTTTCAAAAATCCCAATTAACGGACCCAATAGAGTAAAAACGCAAAACGAAGAAGTTGAATTATTGATTGGCAAGTTAGCAACAAGTATCAATTTATATTACAGCATTTATAATTATGTTATCATTTACCATAAAAATTTTTTACATTAAATAATTCATATCCTAATAATTATAGCTTTGGCATTTTTAAAAGAATATTCTAAAAGTGTCTTTAACAAATTGATATTCAGTCCAACGCTCATCGTTTGTTTTTTTTTTTTTGAAAGAATAAAACATTAATATTCCAAAGGATCGTCAAACCACAGCTAATTTAAAAAATTTCTCTCCCTGTACGAAAAATAAATTCTTCATTTAATTATTTCCTTGTAGTAAATATAGTGTTTCGGTAAATTGGATAGTTTAAGTATATAAAATATTTTTAGAATGATATTATTTTTTAAAATTGAATAATTGAAATATCCGTTGCTGTGAGGGAAACATAGTTAAACTTTTTCAATTTGTGAAACAAAATGAAGTCTTTAAAAATGTACTTGTGAAAAATAAAGCAAATTATAAAAGCGGCATTCTTTAGTGACAAAAAATATTTAACGGTATAAATTCAAAAAAAATCAAAAGTCCTAGTAGGAGTAGAAAAAAAATTTATTTAAACCCCTAATATCTTTCACTTAAATATATTGGCGAGCAATCTAGATCTATCAAATAAATAAATAAAATAAATATACGCTCTGAATTGAACATAATGACATAAACATTAGACAATTTTAAAAGCTCTGGGAAATATATTTTGAAGATTTCGAGAAAACTGTTAAACCAGTTTCACAACCAGTTGGCTACTGCAATCTCGCGATCGGAATATCGTAAAACTTTGTTAGTAAAGATTTATCATAGATAATAATCCGGATATTGGGTGGAACGTCTTAGTTTCAAGACATGTAGGTGTACGTTTAAACGCGTCTGAAATCTGATAGTATCTGGAACATCTTCATATACCAACTCTCGGACTATATACCCATAGTCCTTTTATCTACAATACCCTTTGCACTATGAGAATAGATGTTTCTCCACTTGAATAAATATAAGACATTTCCTGATACAGAACCTGCAAGCTACGGCAAGCGTTATCGTAACTGTTATAAAAATATCATTATAGAAAATATATAGAAATAAAATACGCTTTTTGTTTATATATAAATAAAATTATTTAGTTATTTATTTATTTATCAAAAAAGGTGAATCAAAAACGAGTGGATTCAAAATGAAATCCGATACCGAAAGAAATGATTTGTTGATACTGACATCAGAATCATGTCTATAGTTCTCAGTTTATAGCTTAGCTACTGCTATTCGGTATCAAAAGTTCAACTAAAAATTTATGATAGTCTTCGACAAAGCATTCATTTCTAAAAGGAAATTCTACTTTAAAAAAAAATTTAATGAAGAAAGCGATTTAAAAATGAAATTAATAATAGATACGGTCTGATTTGCTCTAAATTAGTAGTGGCATTTAGACAGTAAGTCAATATGGCCAAACGTAACGGTTTCGTAGATAAGAATCTCAGCTATATATTTAATGAGGAACCGGGCGAAAAGAATCCGATGTCGACAGAGATATTTAATGCTCCGGTGAAGTTTGAACAAGATGGTTATAACTATCATGTGACACATGGGAATTCAGTGATGATAAATGTATGCAATGTCTACTAAGTATAACCAAATTTTCCAATGTAAGAGTTACATTGGCATTGGGAAATACTTTCCAATTTTTAAGAAGTTTACACTTGTTGCAGTAATTTCTATAACGTAACAGTCATAATACTGATTCCATTATAAATCAAACAAATTAAATTAATTTTAATTAAATTAATCTAATCAAATTAATTTTAATTAAATTAAAATTATTTGATTAATTATATAATCAATTGTTTCAAAATAAAATTCCCCTGATAATTAAGCAAAGAATTCCTTACAATTAGTAACATTTAAACCCCTTTTGCCTTTACATAATTTTGAATTTTTTATTTAATAGCCTTTAAATTTTTCTAAATTTATTTTCATTTCCTTTAAAACCCGTTATTAAGATGATTTTTTATTAAGGTGCTAATGAATTAACTTCTGGAATTACTATTTTGGGAGTAACACGTTATCCTGACACTAAAAAAAAGTGTTAAATTTGTTGCTTGTAATTTGTACTATTTTAGAAACCATTGCTAACGGCGTCTTGTATCGTGTAACCTCGTGATAGTATTGAAGAAAATTGTGACATATGAAAATAAGATATGCAACGCTATTAATTTAATATCAAATTGAAATTCAAAAAAAGCGTTGATACTACACAATGTTTTGTTTTCTTATAGTATAAACTGTGAGTGATAAAAATAAGAGTGAAAAACTTGTTCACCTCAACTTCAATAACAGTTGTCATGTCCACGTGTGGCGCATAGCACAAAGCCAGCTTCTCAGCCGTGGACGTTTCCGTCCGCGGCGGAAACATTCCCAGAACCTCCAGTTTGACGGCACAAAAATAAAAAAATTTATAACAAAACACGATACACTAAACTTCACATTTGACATTAACACACATCACGAACTGAGTGAATTAATTTCAATAAACGAAAATTCCTCTCACAATCATCGACAACTTATCAGATTTGAATCACTTTGTATACTGCAAATTGAAATCAAGATTAATAACTAAATCATCATGGTACTGATTTCACTTAAAGATTATTAGTAACTAAATCATTGGGAAACCTTTCACTTATTAGGAAATATGCTTTCTGTTCTTTTTCGAATTGTTCAATTTTTGAGATTCTTTCGATTTTCCTAGATTGATGACGTTGGAAGGATTATTCGAAGCTAAGAAGCTTCGAACTACCCAAGTTTTCTAGAAACAAAGGTTCTGAAAACCTATTCCAATTGTTAAATCTTCTTCGAACCATCTAAAGTTCCTTAATCACTTTTGTCACATTTCTTTATTTCCAATGACACTAGATCTTCATCAGTAATAAAGATTACCCAGATTCACTAATTCAATCTTCATAAACAAGTGAACTCATTTTTATGAATGAATTAATTATATGTTAGGATCCCATTCGTGAGCGGTGGTAAAACATGAATGATAAAAGAAAAAAGAATGCGAGCGCACGGGAACAGCTGATGATGTCGTTGTCGAGTGTTGACTGATTCGGGGGTCTACTAAAGAATCTCGACTAAGGAGAGGGAGGTCCAGTTGAACCACCACTTTCGAGAAACACACGTTATCACGGTCAAGTAAAGTACGTAAGTTGTGTACCCTATCCTATGGCCGCGTGGTGTGGACTAGCTTCACCGAACGGTATGACGGTAGACCGTCTCTTCTTCTGCGACCGAAATATTCTGGGATATACATATAATATGATGGGAGATACAACGAGGCACTAGCAACACGTGGAGTTTTACGCCGCGCCGGTACCCCCTCTTCACGAATGGATCCTCCAAGGGGATAGGGGACGCCCCTCGAAGTGAATAGCGGAACCGACGTTCACCGAGTTCCACCGATTCAATCCTGCCACATGGCACACGTCACTCGCACGTCGCGCGTCGAACCATGTCCGCAACGTGCTCGGGCACGACCTGACCTGCCCCTGTCGGAGGGTTAACCTCTTATCTTCTTCTTCCTCTTCTTCTTCAGTATAAAAAACATCTTCTTATCTGCTTTCAAACAGGACGACTCTCATTTCTCCTTGTACAGTTACAGATGAACCAAGGGGCTGTTCACTCTGTAATCCATGATGAATTTAATACTCGACAATTGGCATCAGAAATTTGGAATTTGATTATACATTGTGGCGTTATTTTTTGTGATTAGCGTCACAATGGCACCAATCGCCATTGAGACTTTTGAATCCTTGTTTTTTGAATTTCGCTATGATTAACGATTTAATGTTACCGCATTTTGAGAATTTCCTATACTTGACACAAGTCCAGTTGAAATACTGGCGCTCCATGTTTAAAGAATTTTGCATCGAGTCAACATGTTTAGTTTTCAAGTATGTGTTTCAAGTTACAGTTTGTCATAGGTCTAGTCATCAATGCAGAGCATAACTATAAGTCATTTTTAATAATTATCAATAATAATGTTTCACCTTCTTGATATTGTTAATAATAACGGAATAAAGTCAAGTTACAGTTTATAAAGAAAATATTATAATATCACTTGTTTATTCGATTGAAAATATAATGTTCTTTTATTGTTAATTTATTGTTTACGAATTATTTATTGTTACGATGAACTCTCTTATTGATTTTGTCAATCGTGTAGATACATTAAACCTGTTTTGGAAAATTCCCAGCCTTATTTTGTACAAAGGAAGAACAGTCAAAATCTTATTGATTTTAGATCATAAAACTCCTGTAATGATTTTTGTAGCACTTATGTGAATAAAGATTTCTGAATCTGTAGGTTTACTATTTTAATTATGTATTTATAAGTACATATTTCTGTATAAAAGAAATCATTTTAGATATACCATTTAATGATTTACGGTTGATTCTATACGACTTGTACAGATTTTGACATCCGGAACAAAAAAAGTTATGGCAACTTCAATCAATTGATTGTTATAAGTCCATGACAAGTTGAATGTTATGCCAACTTTCACTATATGGGTTCAGATGAATGTTTTGGTTCTGTGATGAATCTAGGTCATTTTCACATAATTTAGTATTTCTTGTTTGTCATAATACCATTTGGATTCTACTCTCTAAATCTGGATCAATCTGTAACTATAAATACCGGCATAGTTATGCGTCGATTATTTATTCAGTAGGAAGTAAATGTGATGTAGGATGAAGTAGCATTAAAGTAGGTCTGAATTTTGATTATTATCAACTACATATAGAAATATTATATATTGAGAGTGACATGGCATTTTGATAAATTTTTTATATCTAACTTTGATAAAAATTTACTTTTGCGTTACATATATAAATTAAGGGACGTATTTCTTAATTACATAAAATAAGTTTATGATTCGTGTCTAATTAGAAACCGTATCTGAATTTCAAAACCGTAAAAGCTTGAAAGTGATATTTCTCTTAACATATGTTTTAGTAAAGAAAGTCTACATCAATCCATGTCAATAGACATCATGTCATTGATGTCTCGCCCATTCAAAATAAAAAAATATTATCATGCAAGACTTTTTAAAAGAATTAATGATTCTGGACAGTTTACCAAAAACAGTTCACGCTTCATCAGAAGTTAACTATATGACTAACAAGTTGTTAAGAATTGAATTCAAGATCTGACTCTTGAGTGTTACACCTCTTGTTGGTACATTATTTTTCCTATTTAAATATGTTTAGATAAACAAATTTTTTACTTTTCATATTGAATTAAAAAAACATATTTCTTATATTTCTCCTATTGATGATTGTTCTGATAATTCTGTTTAATGATAAAATTGCGAAACAATAAAAATTACAGTTTCCTTTATGAAAACAAGTTTCGATATTTAAAAGTTTCAAAATCAAAATCGATTTCTAACACGATTTCTCTGTGCGGATATATTGGGAGCATATCTATTCCAAGAAGGTCAATTACATTTCACCTGTCAGAATCCCAAATGATATTTCGAAGAATTTTCTAAACGAAATTTTTTTTTCTTAGAAATGTCTATTCATATGTGTTTATATGAAAAGATTGAACTTCCAACACATAAATTTTCATTAAAACTGCAGGAAATTTATAATATACATAAGGGGCAAAGCAGTTATCAGAATGATCAATAAACAGGCGGAGCAACAACGCAGAAAAGTGGAGTAATGCGCGTGCCTTCTGGCATTTTCTTATATATACAAGAAGCCAAGCACTGCCATCATGCTGTCACCTGAGCTCGCAAAAAAGTCACCAATCCGACGAAACTGACAGGAATTTTTAAAGTCGACTTTCTAAACATTTTCCACTTATAATTGAGGGGGAGAAATTGACCGATCACGGTAGTAATTGTCGTAATTCGTCGTCAATTTTATTAGGTTCAGAATAAAATTTATTTCTCAAGGTGATTTCGTATACTTGTTATAGTCATTTTATTAACGGACTTTCGATAAACGATTTTATTTGGCCTTAGGTCTTAGTATGATCATCCATTGATGCGGTTTTACTCGATTTATGACATCAATTGACCATTCGATGCGAGATTATATATAAAAATGGCTCTATATTATTTTTCCTTCAAGATTGAGGATTTGAAAAAAATATTACTAGAATTCTTGGTAATTTTTATTGATTGAAATAGACAAATCTGTTTTACCGATTAATGATAATACAGATTTAACCATAGGGTTTATTTATTTATATTTGATTTACGATTAGCATCACGAAAAAAATATATATTTTATGATAAAACGTCACACTCAGGGTGATAATATATAAATATAGAATAAATATCGTGTATATTGTAGGATGTGGGTTTAATGAACTAAAGATGCAGAGTTTCTTACTGTCATAAATTTTCTTCGCGTGGCAGAAAGGCTAATATAATGAAGCAGTACGGCAAACAAAGTGGTTGGGAGATCATCACCGAAGTGTAGATCGCACAAGTGCGTGACTCTAAGCGCTAAGACGATCTCAAATGAAAAAGCCTGCTCGGAAGCTGACCAGCATCATATCATTATTTCAAAAAGAAAATAAATCATTTTCTTGTAATTCAATTTTATTTCATGAGAGTTTTTTTTTAAAGTACTCTAGTTTTTTTATTTTTGAATCGGTCAGTGCACTATTTTAACAACAGATTCCACCATTTAGAACTTAATACAACAAATTGAATATCAATGGTTTTTTTTCGAAGGAGAAAAAAAATACGTGTGAGAAAGAAACGCAATCAGCAAAACGTATTCGAGAAAGGTGAATTGATCTTGTAGCACAAAAAAAAATAAATAAAACTTACATCCATAAAACACAAGCAGTGGCCAAATACCGTGGTAGGTTTGGTCAATTAAGTGCTGTTTCATACTCTTACCCGCATAATTTCGACACGAGAGGATCGTTAAAAATTTTTTGAAGCAACTTGACCTGCAAACAGGGTATATAATGAAAAGAAAGACGTCGAGAAGAAAGAGAAAATGAAAGACATATCAAAAACTGTTTTTTTTTTTAAATTTTTCGAAAGTTATGAAGCAATTAATATTGGGCAATTATTTATAGAGTAGAACTAAAATAGTTGTTAAAATTAACAAAATCTGTATTATCTAATAAAGAATAAAATAGAAAGAGAAAGGGGGGATAACGAAAAAGAATAGTGAGGAAGAAGGAGGAAGCCAGTTTGGTAAAGATGGCACACCATACGCGAATAAAAGACGCGTAACAGGGACGATTAAGGTGGGAGAGAGAAGTCGCTAAACGGCATTCCAAACTGCCCATCCAGCGCCACCCAACGGTAACCAACGCACCAATTCGAAAAGGCTTCCTCCATAAGACGTCATGGGGTTCAGTAGGGTTTGACTCTCAAACAGCATCCCGTTCAGATGTGCACCTGTCACCAATCACCTTTAATTTTACCAATATTAATAACACAATTAATAATGCATTTCTTTTATTTTAATAAACTTCAACTTAATCTATTATTCCGGTAATCTCGATAATTTACCTATATATGCTTCCTTATGAGGAAGCAATAATGATTGTTTAAACGTAAATTTCTTCATTTAAACTTTCCAATGTTTTTTCAAACGATCTTGATGATCTAAACACTCTTAAGACCTTCGAGATAGAGTGGAATTAAAATAATGATGGTATTTCAAATGATTAATCTGACCTTAAACGTATGGTCTCTTGATAAACAATAAATACTATAGTAGTTATAATTTTGATGCAATGTTTCTCGATTAAAATGATGGTTCAGTCTGTTAGGGATCTTCACGAGAAACTAATTTGCACTTGAGAAGGTTAATTCTTTCATATGCAATTGCCTCTAATTTCGTAAAACGAGAAGCTCGCAAAAAGGATAAAACGGAAATCATCATTGAAAATTAAACTAAACAATTAGTGATTTTACAGATTATGTCAATGAGAGTTAGAAATTTGAAGAAGTTTTCTTTTGGATATAAAAACTTTTGTAGAGACTAAGTAAACTGAAATGACGTAAAGTTGCATGTGGTAATGTTTGCTATTGCGCACGCATCATTTGTATGCAAAATGGTCAATTGGTTCGAAAGAGGGAGCGGCGTCTTTTGTCGGTCACGATATGAAGATCGCTCTTAATTTTCGGCTGCATATTCGATGGATCGTATAAGTAATTTTTTAATACACAGAATTCACACAAGAACATAACGTTGCCTTTTACGTTCACTGATACACAGTATAGAAAAGAAGTCAGGAGGGTTCGAGTTA